TCCTAGAGAATCAGACTTTGAAGGCTAACAGGATTTGATGGCAGGATTTTGACAAGACTGGGGGAAACAGAGACTCCACTTTTGGAAGGCACACAGAAACTGGTGTGCACATCAGGACCCAGGGGAAGCAACAGTGACCACATAGGAGACTGAACCAGACCTACCTGCTAGTTTTGGAGGGTCTCCTGCAGAGGCAGGGTGTGGCTGTGTCTCACCCTGAGGACAAGGACACTGGCAGCAGAAGTTCTGGGAAGTACTCCTTGGCTTGAGCCCTCCCAGAGTCTGCCATTAGCCCCACCAAGGAGCCCAGGTAGGCTCCAGTGTTGGGTTGCCTCAGGCCAAACAACAAACAGGGAGGGAACCCAGCCCCACCCATTAGCAGACAAGCAGATTAAAGTTTTACTGAGCACTGCCCACCAAAGAAACAGCCAGCTCTACCCACCACCAGTCCCTCCCATCATGAAACTTGCACAAGCCTCTTAGATAGCCTCATCCACCAGAGAGGAGAGAGCAGAAGCAAGAAAAACTACAATCCTGCAGTCTGTGGAACAAAAACCACATTCACAGAAAGATGAAAACGCAGAGGGCTATGTACCAGATGAAGGAGCAAGATAAAACCTCAGAAAAACAACAAAATGAAGTAGAGATAGGCAATCTTCCAGAAAAAGAATTCAGAATAATGATACTGAAGATGATCCAGGACCTTGGAAAAAGAATGGAGGCAAAGATCAAGAAGATGCAAGAAATGTTTAACAAAGATCTAGAAGAATTAAAGAACAAACAAACACAGATGAACAATATAATAACTGAAATAAAAAATACAGTAGAGGGCTGCCCTGGTGGCACAGTGGTTGGGAGTCTGCCTGCCGATGCAGGGGACCCGGGTTCGTGCCCCGGTCCAGGAGGGTCCCACATGCCGCGGAGCGGATGGGCCCGTGAGCCATGGCCACTGAGCCTGCATGTCCGGAGCCTGTGCTCCGCAACGGGAGAGGCCACAACAGTGAGAGGCCCGCGTACCACAAAAAAAAAAAAAAAAGAAAAAGAAAAAGTAAATAAATAAATAAAAAAGCTTTTGAAAGCAAAGGAAACTACAAACAAGACAAAAAGACAACCCTCAGAATGGGAGAAAATATTTGCAAACGAATCAGCGGAGAAAGGATTAATCTCCCAAATACATAAACAGCTCATGCAGCTCAATATTAAAACAACAAACAACCCAATCAAAAAATGGGCAGAAGACCTAAGTAGACATTTCTCCAAAGAGGACATACAGATGGCCAAAAAGCACATGAAAAGCTGCTCAACATCACTAATTATTAGAGAAATGCCAATCAAAACTACGAGGTATCACCTCACACTGGTTAGAATGGACATCATCAGAAAATCTGCAAACAACAAATGCTGGAGAGGTCGTGGCGAAAAGGGAACCCTCTTGCACTGTTGGTGGGAAAGTAAATTGATATAGTCACTATGGAGAACAGTATGGAGGTTCCTTAAAAAACTAAAGATAGAACTATCATACGACCCAGCAATCCTACTCCTGGGCATATACCCAGAGAAAACCATAATTCAAAAAGACACATGTACCCCAATGTTCATTGCCGCGCTATTTACAATAGTCAGGACATGGAACAACCTAAATGCCCATCGACAGACGAATGAATAAAGAAGATGTGGTACATATATACAATGGAACATTACTCAGCCATAAAAAGGAACGAAAGTGTGTCATTTGTAGAGATGTGGATGGATCTAGAGACTGTCATACAGAGTGAAGTAAGTCAGAAAAACAAATATCATATATTAATGCATATATGTGGAACCTAGAAAAATGGTACAGATGAACCGGTTTGCAGGGCAGAAATTGAGACACAGATGTAGAGAACAAACGTATGGACCCCAAGCAGGGAAAGCAGCGGCGGGTGGGGGTGGTGGTAGGATGTATTGGGAGATTGGAATTGACATATATACACTGATGTGTATAAAACTGATGACTAATAAGAACCTGCTGCATAAGAAAATAAATTAAATTAAATTTAAAAAAAGTTAATTTGAAGAAATCCCAGTTAGACATGCTGACTCAGCTACACACAGGAATTTCAAGAGTAAGTTTACAATGGTTTAGAATTATTCTACTCATTTTGGGAGCAGTTCATATCTCAGACCCCTGTACATATTCTTGAATTTAAACAGTAGATTCAAAATAAATGATAGCACGTGATTGTACAGGTTAAGATACAGAATGATTTCTATTCTCTCACTCTATGTGATCATTTAAAGTTTTGTTTCTGTTTATAATTTAAAATGGTGAAACAGAGTGTACACTGCGAGATGTAACACTTTTATCTGGTTACTGCATAGTTTAGTTCATACATGAGATAACCTACTGAATTTGAATAATACCTTTGAAATTGAAATTCTTTAAAATTGTTATTTTTGTTATTTAATAAGCTAAAATATCATTATTCATCAATCGACTAATGTATAGGCATAAGCTTTTTTCAACTTTTCAACAAATACATTAATGTAAATAAAAAGTATCAATTACTTCTTTCCTTTTTTGTACTGTATTTCATCACTTATTTATTCCTGTCATGAGTGTATAGATAGATAGATAGGTAGGTAGAAAGTTCAATGAAACAAAATTTTTGCCCTCAGATTTCTTTTCTGGCCACTGTTGTTGTTCATTTCATTTCATGATTCTTATTTAAAATAAATTAGTTGTATAGAGGAGGGGAGCTAAAAAATGATCTGCTCCACATTTCAAATATATTGGATATGATGATGGTAGGTATCAAAAAATATTTGTAGAATGTGTGAATTAGTCAATTTGAAAAGTCACTAATGTGTAAAAAGATTTAATCTCTTTCCAAAATAACCAGCCTAACTTTACTAAAGACACTGACAATTTTATTTCCACCTGGTAAAAACTATTTACTTACAGAAGATACAAGATCAGACAAGTCAAAACATACCTACCCAGATATGACAATGAAGTCGAGGTTTGACCTAGACCATAGTCACAAAGCAACAATTTTTAAATGACCCACAAATTCTGTGAAGTAAGACACCCATTTTGGAAATGCAGACTCCTGAGTTCACCTGACAAAGGTGTATAATTGGTGAGTATAGAGAGGAGCACTGAATCTCCTGCAGTTAAGTTCCCTGGGAAAAGGTGGGAAGAGGGTCCCCTCCACTTCCCCCAGGAGAAAAGAGTTGGCAGCCTACTCAAACCACCACTTCCTTTACCTTTTGTACCCTGCTGTGTTTCTAGGACAGTAAGTTCCCTATGTTTTGCCACTTCTAACTTCTGGGTAACAACGTAAGGGAAATGGATTTTCCATTGCTCTAGGGATCAAAGGGGTTCTGGGCTTTGAGCTTCATGAATTCCAGTCACTGATCCTGTTTTCTCAGTTTTAATTTGTCTGTCTCTCTGTGTCTCTGAAACACACACAGACACACACACACACAGACACACACACACACAGACACACACGCGTGCGCGTTATTAGGAAATAACGCTCTCTAATCCCAGCTACAAAGGAGCTTTGGGTGTTGGCTCTCACCTTTGAGATGTCAGTGCTGCCAAGGGTAGAGCTTATCTGAAAACTTCAAGGAACTGTTTGAATTAAAGGGAAGTTCTTGCTTTGTTTTAGTTAAAATATAATCTTAAAAAAATAAAGAGTAAGAGTTGAAACCAATTTAATTATTTTGAAACTTATAAAGGTAGAGAGATTAAAAAGTATATTTACTTCTTCCGTTTTTTAATTGAGGAATTAATTTCCTTTCTATTTGCCCACTATTTGGGGAGGAGCTTATTTACTTAGGCTAGAGGATAGCAGAAATGAAGCCTTTTAAATTTCGCTTTTGGGGGACTTTCCTGGTGGTCCAGTGGGTAAGACTCCGTGCTCCCAATGCAGGAGGCCCGGGTTTGATCGCTGATTGGGGAACTAGATCCTGCATTCTGCAACTAAGAGTCCACGTGTGACAACCAAGATCCCACGTGCTGCAACTAAGACCCAGCACAGCCTAAATAAATATTAAAAAAAAAAAAGTTTTGCTTTGGGTAGAGACTTATTAAGAAAGATGTAGGAAAGAGCAGCATAGAGTAACATGACACAAAGACATATTGTTACTTTCTATAAAATTAACAGCTCTTATATTGCTTCAGTTTGCAGATAGTTTTCTTCTCACCCTCTCAAATTATACAAGTGCATGTTAATTCACACGATAAATGTGTTACTGAAAAGACTATTTGTACCGGAGGAGAGCCTATTAAAAAAAAAAATGTATTGGTGAATCCTTGAATCTTTTTAATTGAAGAATCACTTTCTATTCTACAAAGGCAGGTTTTCAGGTAACAGATTTGCTTTTTAAAGAGAGGCACACCTGTATGCTGTATAATAAAACATACTCCTTTTGAATTCTAGCCTAAACTTCACTCAACTTTTGGTCTAGAAAAGCCAGTCCAGCAGGATTAGTAGCATCAATAACCTTCCCCAAGATGAAATTTTAAGTTACCCATTGAATGTTAAAGTTGAAGGTACTAAAGGTCTGATTTGGGCCACACAATTTAGGTGAAAACAAATCAGAGAAAGGTTATCAATAAATGAGGAGAGCCTTTCAAAATAAGACACATGAGAGAGAGACTTAAAGGAAAGTGGAAGGGGATTTTAGAAGAAAAAACTATGGGGGAGATTTTATGTTAACTTTGAAATCTGTTTAAAAGCACATCACCAATTGTTTCCTTTGACATGAGCAACTGAAAGAATAAATATCCCAGAGTTAAAACCAGAAGAGCTTTAGGTGAGAATCAGTACCAATAGGTCTTGACTTATGAAGGTGAAGGATATGGAGGCAAGTTTCTGAGGTCAGTAACACCACTCTGTACTTCTCTGGTTCAGTTTGCTGTGAAGCAGGGGATGACTTGGAGAAAATGATTTCTAAACGCCTCTTCCCTCTGGTCCTCTCATTCTAAAAGGATGAAGTGAAACTTGTCTTACCTTTTCTTTCTCAAGAGTGGCATTTCTTGTCTACTTTTCCTGACCATGTCTCCTACCAAGTCAAAAAAATAAAGAAAAGCATTAAGAAAGAGAAGCCATTATAAAAACAACCAAGCAGGGTTCAAGTGATTTCTGATTATCCCATTTTGCTCAGAGATGAACGTTTGTTTTGGGTTTAAAGGAAGATATTTTGGGTTAGGATAACAAAGCTTTAAAAAATATTTTTTAAAAAGTAGTCCTCTATCCCATGAGTGAGGATTGGACACTTGTTCAGGTTTAAATGGGAGATGAAGGAAGAATGGAGAAATAAGATTAACGGTGGACATCCTATGGAAGAAGAGTGCTCACCAGTGGAGACAGCACCCAAGCTGCCTTGCTTCACAGTTTTAGCTGGGGCTGCCTCTCCTCTCAAGTTTATCCCAGTATGCCAAGCATTTCCTCTAGGTCCTTATTTCCATGTTATGCCTGGGATGGAAATTCCTGGAACAAGGAGCACGAATCAAGGTTACAAAGATTAGAAAGGGGACATAAATGGGTAATCTTAGGTAGAAGACAATTAGGAATTACTGGTTTGGGGAAGAGTCCAGGTCCCAACTAAAAGGCATTTAAATGAAAACACATTTTGAATATTATGCAGGCCAAAGAAACAGAGCTGGCTGGCTGGCTGAGTTCAGCTCTTCACTCATCCTGCTTTTACTCCTTTCTTAGAGAATAGGGGTTAAGGTAATTTCCTCTTGTATGTCAGATATGGAAATGATACAGAAAATCAAAACTAATTAAGAGGAAGGTCTAGATAGAGTGTAATTTATTGAACTTCTGCATACCCTAGGAGAGGTTATTTCTAGAATTTTAGTCACTGAATTTAAAGCAATCCTAGTTCTGGTTTCTTGCTTTAATTCTTCAAATCAGCTTTGGGCTGGGCAATATAAAATATTTTTGTGCAAATCTCTTTGAAAGGATGGAACTTCCCCTCCTCTCCCCAAATTGCTCAAAAGTCAATTACTGCCCTTTTTGGTTCTTGCCTACACAGTCTACGTGAGGATATCATTCTTTTACTTTTTAAAATTTATTTATTTATTATTATTATTTTTTTGCAGTACGTGGGCCTCTCACTGTTGTCGCCTCTCCCGTTGTGGAGCACAGGCTCCGGATGCGCAGGCTCAGAGGCCATGGCTCATGGGCCCAGCCGCTCCACAGCATGTGGGATCCTCCTGGACTGGGGCACGAACCTGTGTCCCCTGCATTGGCAGGCAGACTCTCAACCACTGTGCCACCAGGGAAGCCCTTAAATTTATTTTTTAATTCAAGTATAGTTGATTTACAATGTTGTGTTAGTTTCTGGTGTATAACAAAGTGATTCAGTTATACATATGTATACATTCTATTTTATATTCTTGTCCATTATGGTTTATTGCAGGATATGGAACATAGTTCCCTGTGCTATACAGTTGGACCTTGTTGTTTATCCATTCTATATATAGTAGTTTGCATCTGCTAACCCCGAACTCCCAATCCATCCCTACGGAACCCCTTCTCTCCTTTGGTAACCACAAGTCTGTTCTCTATGTTTGTGAGTCTCTGTTTTGTAGATAGGTTCATTTGTATCAAATTTTAGAATCCACATGTAAGTGATATCATATGGTATTTGTCTTTCTATTTCTGACTTACTTCACTTAGTATGATAATTTCTAAGTCCATCCATGTTGCTGCAAATGGCATTATTTCATTCTTTTTATACTGCTGCATAGTACTGCATTGTATATATATACCACATCTTCTTTGTCTATTCATTTGTCAATGGACATTTAGGTTGTTTCCATGTCTTGGCTATTGTGAATAGTGCTGCTATGAACATAGGGTTGCATGTATCTTTTTGAATTATAGTCTCATCCAGATATATGCTCAGGATTGGCATTGCTATTTTTAGTTTTTTGAGGAACCTCTATACTGTTTTCCATAGTGGCTGCACCAACTTACATTGTGAGTCTATCAGTCTTGATGTTGCTAAAAATTTTCGTGTTGAAAGATGTCTTGTTTGAAAACACATGAAGTATTGAAATGTGTCACAACAGAAACAGCCCTCAAATCCAAAAAGATTTGGAAGACTGGGAAAATAATTTCTCTTTTGAGAACATGAGAAAATAGTGGCTCAGATTTAGATAAAAGACAAAATAATATTAAAATTTATCCAACATTTCTGAAATAGGTAACCTGAACTCACATTTGAGTCAGGTATGATCTATTCTAGCTCAACACCCCCTGATCATTTGGGGTATTTCTGTTTATCAGGATAGAGGTAGTAATGTCTCATTCTTCCCTATTTCATTTTCACATTTAGTAAAGGAGATACCAGTAGCTTCATTTACCACCTAAAATTTCAAAATAAGTTAGTTTTTTAAAAATTTGTTTATTTTATTTATATTTATTTTTGGCTGCATTGGGTCTTCGTTGCTGCACGCGGGCTTTCTCTAGTTGCGGCGAGCGGGGGCTACTCTTCGTTGCGGCAGACAGGCTTCTCATTGCAGTGGCTTCTCTTGGTGCAGAGCACGGGTTCTAGGTGCATGGGCTTCAGTAGTTGTGGCTCGTGGGCTCTAGAGCGCAAGCTCAGTAGTTGTGGTGCATGGGCTTTGTTGCTCCACAGCATGTGGGATCTTCCCAGACCAGGGCTCAAACCCGCGTCCCCTGCATGGGCAGGTGGATTCTTAACCACTGCACCACCAGGGAAGCCCCCAAATAAGTTCTTATAATTTGGGAACTTCCTGTCAGTTTATACATCTGAAGGCATCTTAAGTAAAAAAAAAAAAACTGGACCTGTTTTCCTTTCTTATGATACCATACAGAGTAATACCGAAGGCTGCTCAACAATTCTGAATATTGATATGACTGAAATTTTAAGGTAGATAATAATCAGAGAAGAGAAAATATAAGGAGGAAAAATAATCATAAATTGTGTCCTTGAAAAAAATATCAAGAAAGCCAAAGTAAAAATGGTTTAAAAAAACCTAAAACCTAACTTTGCTTATAAAATGCCTTTACAGAACTCTGCTAAACTTTGATCGAATTCTGGCAAATGCCATTGTTCCATGAAAACGTTCGAACAACTAAGGATTAGTCACCTCTTCCAATGTTTCAGGAATTGTACACTATGTTTCACTGCAGGACTACAGTGAAGTCATAAGAAGGTCATGTTTGTCAAGTCCTGGCTCTGGTATTTGTTTCTTCTGGAGAGAAGGGAACCTGTAGACTTTCTGCCTAATAGCCCAAACGTTCTTAGTCAACGAAATGCACTGGACTCTTCTAATGTAAATAGTGTTCACAGAGCCTGTCCTGCTTATTATTCATAATCAATAAGAAAACATTATGAACCAAATTTGAGACATCTAGTCTTTGAAAAGAATGGAGAGGCCTCCAGTTCTTAGAACATGAAATAAGAGAGCCTCCTGGTGGTCAAAGTGGTGCACAGACTTGCTGCTGGGTACCTGAGGAACAGTGATTTTACTGTTTTTTTTTAACATGACCAAAAAAGTAAAGAGAAAAAGACACTATAGTAAAAAACAAAAAAGATAAAAGCATTTAACTGAAGGACCTATTTCCCAAACCCACTTACTGTAGCTCACTTTTTCTAAAACCATGCCTGCTGAATGTAGTTTATAGGTAATAATGGTATTCATTTATTTAAAGCTCTCTGCATTTATATATATAAAGCACACCCACACATTCCTTCAGTGCTTATCATTTTGGTCAATTTTAACCCTAAAGATGTGCCACGAATATCACAAAATAACTTACTGAATGACCTTAAGATAAATTACTTTCAAGCACGCAGAGAACTCAGATGGACTAAGAAGCCTGATTAAGAGAAGTCAGGTGAGAATCTAAAATATTTTAAAAACTATTTTGGTATCAGCATATCAATCAAGTTTGGTATTTCAGAGGCAGAAAACACTGATAAGACTCCCTCCCTGAAGCAAAAAGCTGACAATCCAGTAAGGAGATAAACAGCAAGTAGCTGTAAACTAGAGTCGAGTGGCAGAAGGTAATGCTAGAAAGGAAGTGGCTGATGCACGGTAGACAACTTAGAATTTCAGGTGGAGGAGCATGAACCATTGGCAACTTGATAAGGGTATTGACAAGATGATTGGCAGCAGAGTATAAAATTGCCTGGAGTAGGGAGAAAACAACAAAAAAAGGAAGACTAAAAGCCTATCGAAACAGTTATCTAATTTGAACCTTCCCTGCTTGAATTCTTCCAGTGGCTTCCAGACAGGTCCAAACTCCTAGCGTAGTATGCTAGCCCTTCTGTGTTACAGTCCTGTCTGTGTCATCTGGGTTCCTCTGGATCATCTCTCTCCATACCATCACTTAGAACCCCAAACTCTACTCCCATCTAACATCCTCCCACCCCCCAGTAAAAGCTCCACCCTCTCCGGCCTCTAGGGCTTTGTGGGTGCTGCAGCTTCTGTTTAGAGGGCCATTGCTCATTTCTTAACTAATTCCTACTTATATTTTAAGACAGTCAGGAAAGTTATCTCAAAAGGAGAAATTGCCTCAGACTCAGTAAGACTAGATTAGGTATCCTTGCCATGTACATCCGTAATACCCCTAGTTTTCACTCGATCACAATATTTATAATCTGTACTGTAATTTTCTCCAATTAAAATTTTCTCCAAATCTACTGTGAGTACCTTGAGGGTGGGCTGTGTCTTTTATCTCCCACTACAGTGCTTGCTACACAATAGGTGTTCAAAAAAGTTTTTTGATGCCCCTTCAAAAAAGGAACTTACTGGTCACAACTGAAATTGCATTTTGTTTGCAGTTCCTCTCCTGACCCCAGTAGAGTCACTTTCCTTTTTAATCTATCCTGCCCATCTGTCAGTCCAAACTTCTTCAAATTACTTCTATCAAGGTCTTTCCTTCCTAAGAAACTTTGGCCTCCCTATTGTCTATGACAGCAAGTCCAAAACCTGGTTTTCAAAAGTCTTAATGTCTGTTTGGTCCTACATGTTCTGCTTTATTTCCAGTCTCTATTCTCCTTTATTTCTGGTCACTTCAGATATTCTGCCTTCACTTTTCCTACTGAAATCCCAGCTGTCCTTTCAAGACCCAGCTCAATAATCATTTCCTCATTGAAGTCTTCCCTGGCTCTTCAAACACATATTGAACATATAGTTTACCATTTATTTGGGCACTTACACGTCATCTTGATTGGATGTAACCTCTTCCTGGGTGGGCCTTCTCTCCTTCACAAGATGGCTTAAGTTCCTGGGGGGCAGGAATCGTATCATAATCAGTACAGCAGTAATGATTCAATTTCAAGAAAGTGAATAATAACACATTATACCAATAAAATGAAAGCTGCCCAAATATGGAATTTGGACTTTAATTTGAAAAACACCAAGAATAAAGAGGTAGATTAGTTACTATTTAAGTTTGTCCTTTGCTGAGAGGTATATAAACTGGGAAGACGGATCACATAGGTGTAGGTGTAAATGAGAATTTTACTTGTGCTACGTCATTATTAAAAGGTTCAGCAGGTCATTACTATACATTTCCTCCAGGTCATCATATTTTCTCTAAGGACATTTAGTTATCATCTTAAACATTACACAGTGGGTTCTGTAGAGGACTGCAATGTTACTCTGTAACATCATACATATAGTAAGGTTGGGAATGTGAGTCAAAAGGAAAAAGGTACTCCAAACCTATTATCCCTACAACAGAGCCTATGGGAGTAGACCATGCTTTTCCTCAAGCAAAAGTTCCCTTGGCATATATGGTTGTCCTGTGGATCCTGCTCCAGGGCACTTAATACACTGAATTAATCTAGAGTCAAAAACAATATGTTGCCTTCACAAGCTCGTATTTCATTTTAACAAGGCCTTCTAAAAATACAAAAGTCTTGATGAATTGGGCAATTGGGATTGACATGTATACACTGATGTGTACAAAACTGATGACTAATAAGAACCTGCTGTATAAAAAAAAAAATAAAATAAAATTCAAAAATTAAAAAAAAATACAAAGGTCTAACTGAAAAGATTATTTGATGATGTGAAGCACAAATGCAGTGTCAGGCCAACAGAGATAGTTGTTTTGGTACCTGGTAACTTTTCAGTAATCTCAAATTGTTTCATGTATGTTCCTGGCTACTCTATTTAGCCACTGGGTCATTTCCATTTTTATTTTTGAGTTTCTCTTCCTACAATTAGAAACTGAAAACTGTAGTTCAAAGCAAAATAGAAAATACATTAGAATCTCATCTTTACCAGTTCTGTGGTTTTGGGCAAGGTGTCTGACTTCTCTGAGCCCAGTTTTTTAATTTATAAAACGGGAATAATAATATGCATTTTGTAGAACTGCTGTCAGAATTATCAACATATGTAAAATAACTAACACCATACCTGGCATATAGTGAGTGTGCAACTATTATTCTAATGTTAGTTGATTTTTTTTTTTTGATGTATCATACTGAGTAATGAAAGTCATATTAGATGGAACATTTACTATTCTGGTGCAAAATACCTAAAATAACACACTAACAATCAATTTCTGATGACCTCATAAAATCAAAAGATACAATCACTGTTGTCATTAATATGATCTTTAATAAATGGAATAATGCACCATTTTACAGCAAGCCATTTTTAAACCTAAAGAACTTTCTTAAAATCTTCTTCTCCAATGTCTCTGTATCAATACAATCTTTTTATTTAGGTTTATATATATCAAAGCATTTACTTACAGTTATTCATAGAAAACTCTTTAGTGGCTTAATGTCAGCTTTCATAGTGGCATCAATAGATAATACAAAAGAAAAGTGATTTGCTTTATTTCATACTCACACCGATCCATCAAACACAACTTATACAGCATAGCAAGGTCTCAGACAGCTTATACAAAAGCAAAATAACTGAAAGCAATTATTCATAAAATTCATATATGATATTCTATTGGTAATGTAAGAGCAAAACACACCAACAAAAGATACCCGTTAACAAGAAAGAGGGTTCTGAGGAATTGCCAATATTTTTCAGCCTTTCTTATTCCAGAAAAGCATCCTCAGAAATGAATACTCTGTAGCTTATGTTTCTCCTGTCCATTCAGAAAAAGCATGGCAGCTACACATTTCCATATTTCAGCTACTACAACACCCTAAGAGTTAGTGTATTTTACAATTATCCACTTATCTTCATTTGAAAAATTATCAACAGAAAATTAAGGATGATTCCAGCTTATACAAACACTTATACAATATAATCTCCATGGAAACATGACAAGGCATACAAAAACTGTTTAAATAAATAAATGTGACCAGAAAAAGAAAAGCCACAGAAGCCAAGCAATTCAATATTAAACCAGGACCTATCTTTGAAGTTCATCTTTTATTAATTCAGTGTTCTTAGTGTTAAGCTTCTTTAAAAATATGTTTTCCCTATCACACTTAAGAGGATTGGTAATAAGGTGGAGAGCCTGAGACAAGAGACCGGTTACAAATAACTTCACTGCAAGGATTTTAAGTATACATATACAGCTTACCAATTTGGAGCTTAAATTTGTCTGAAAGAAACATTCTATTTGGATCTGACAATGTGATAAATAGGTTACCATAGATTACCTTCTCGAAACCATCCAAGCTACTACGAAAGCTATAAACTCACTAGTTCACTTTTAGAAGACAGTTTAATAATGTTAAATTACCTCTTGAAAAATTTTATCTCAGAGGAACTTTATCAAGTTCTCCAATTAAAAACACAAAAACAAAATGAAACAGTTTGTCCCATCATGTATAACCATTTAACCAAAGAACAGAAATTGTTTGAAGACTGTGCTTCAACTCTAAGGCCTAAATATGCTGCAACATCTAGCCAGTTAGTTGAGTCATTTCCCTCTATCCAGTAATTATAAAACTGGGCAAGTTTTTATGATTAATGAAAGCTGATATTATATTTATGTAAATGAAGTCAAATCATAAGATGAAACATTAAATGAACTGTGTGTGCAACAAATTCAACTGTATCTAACTACTTGTTTGCTATCAATTGAAGTTTTTCAGTGTGCAAAGGGATGAAAAGGGCCCTGAGTTTTTAAGTAATATTATGTCTATAGAGCGAGTCTAAAACAGGAAGATGGTTCTTAAATCTAAAGGTACAAATAAAATGTAAAAAACCCACATGTTGTCTTTTAAAACATTAAAAACAAAACAAGTTGCAGTTTAAAATACAGTAATTTGCTTAAAAATTCAATCATAAACTGGACGCCCTAATGATGTGATAAGATTCCTTGTCTCTTACCCAGATTTTAAAATCTGGGTCTCAAATCAAGTTTAAAAAATGAATATCACAACATTTAATAGTAACACTATGAATATCACAGTAATAAAGGAATTAGAATTTTCAAGATATAATATTTATTTTAGGCATGATTTTAGTAAACAGCATAAATTCTTCTGAAGTATTTACTTTTCAAATATTATCAGCCATGAGATAAAATCCTAAATTTTTCCTTATATGCACAAATACTCAATTTTAACCAGCCACTTAAAAGTTAAATGAAAGTTGTTAGAGTCCAGTCTATGTTGCAAAACTATGATGAGTATTTCAAAAGTGGTCTGCAAAGATGTTCGTAGACAATACCTGATTATTGTTGGGTTTGCTTTTGAAAGTTAATATTGTATTTTGTGTTTAATATTTGATACAAAGAAATATGTAAAATGTTGTGGCTCAATCATAATGAATGCTAAGCGTGCTGCAATAAAGGTTAAAAAATAGCAAAATGATATACAATTTTGTACGCATGGCTTTTTACTTATAAACTAATGAGAGTATAAAATCATAAAACTCCACAATAGAAAATGTTAGATAATATAAACTTAAGTGCTGATTTGCTGACAATCTGATGGTTGGATCCACTGTCAAATGGTAACATCTTAATTCTCAATTCTATCCTATTTAACTATTACTTAACTGGAGTAATGAATTTGAATATAACAAAATATAATTTTAGGTGTTCTTAAATATAAGTAGGTATTAAAATAAAACTGAGGAGAAAATACTAAAGGAACCAAAGCAATTCTGTCTGAAGAACTGAGACTTAGGTGTTGAGAAGCCTGAAGTACACTGAAGAGTAATGGATATAAAATGAATCAGGAGGGAAGCAGAATAGATATGAAGAAAACTTTCCTGACACAGAAGATTGCAAGTCAGATAACCAAGGGACAGAGTAAGTGAAGACAGAAACTAAGAGGTGAATGAAGGAAAGTAACGGGGAGGTGCATCAGAGTGCCCTGGGATTTTTTCTTTTCTTGTATGTTAGTTTAATCTGGGAACCTGTAGAAAAACCTTCTTTTGATAATATTTGTGTAAACTAGTTTAAACAGTGATGTGCCAGATTTACTTAATCAAGGATTATATTTAGGAATGGATCACTCAAGGTAGTTTTGGCTAAAGTTTACATAGTTCAGAATCTAAAAGTTAAAATGCACTCTTATTTGCTGAAGAGCAAACTGACAGTAAAAGGTATGAATATTTAGAAACTTCCTAGTCTGAAAAAGACTCCTGGGGTGTCTGTGGGAGTGTTATACAATTTCTAGGATAACTGGTCTAGATAATCAACTAACATGTGTGTCCAGATTTTAAGTTTAAGAAGTTAGCTTGGAAGATAGAGTAATATATAAAGCAATCTGGGAATAGTTATGTAATAACCTGCACATAACTGGTAGTAAGTTTAACATAAATATATAAAAGGTTGTATAGAAATAGAATGTAATCTCACATTCTAGGAACTAATTACCTCCAATGAAATATTCATTTTTATAAGAAAAAAAAACCCAAAAAGTTTGTTGAAATTTTTTTCCATTTTAAATGACTTTGAAGAGAGAGGTTTATAGAATGGAAAATTCAGTAAATAGCTGCAGCCTATCAGGTGTTTCATTTGGCTTTAGAAGCCAAATTAGAAAATATTTTAAATAAAAATACTTGCCGAATTTTATGATAACTCCCACCGAAACACATACTTACTTGAGTGTTCCTACCTTTCTTTAAATATTTTCACATTAACCAACACACATTTTCTGGAACAAGTGGATACCTGAAAGGAAGCTATACAAGTTGCTATATAAAAAGGACATTATCCTTCTATCCTTCCTACATCCTCTTCAATTAGTTCTCTGGATTGGTAAAATTTTCTAAAGTCACTTTTAAAAGCGGAAATTTTCAAAATGAAGTGAAAGGACTGATGA